GAACTCGATGAAGTTCGAGAGGACGAGCAACAAAGTCAACCTGACAAAACTGACAATCAAAGTGCTTTAGAAGCAGTTGTTGACAATGGTCAGAGTCAAACAGACAATGCAAATGCTCAACCTATTACCCAGCGTAGGTCGAAACGGCCAAGATCTCAACCAGACAGATACCTCGGTGTTGTCTTAACCGAAGATCAAGACATCCTAATTATGGATGGAGATGATCTAGCGACGTATAAACAAGCTATGACGAGCCCCGACTCTGCAAAATGGCAAGAGGCCATGAAATCCGAGATGGACTCCATGTTTGAAAATCAAGTCTGGGACTTGGTTGATTTGCCCGAAAATTACACGCCTATCGGTTGCAAATGGATTTTCAAGTTGAAAACCAACAAAGATGGAAATGTATATGTATACAAAGCTAGATTGGTGGCAAAAGGTTACAGGCAAATCCACGACGTTGATTATGATGAAACCTTTTTGCCAGTCGCCATGCTTAAGTCCGTCCGGATTATCCTAGCAATTGTCGCATATTATGATTATGAAATATGGAAAATGGATGTCAAAACCGCCTTCCTTAATGGGATTTTGGAAGAAACTGTGTACATGACACAACTAGAAGGTTTTGTTGATCCAAGCAATGCTAGGAACGTACGCAAGCTTAAGAAGTCCATTTATGGATTAAAGTAGCCAAGAGACGGCATCTACTCATGTCACATGGTATAACTCTCAGCAAGAAGCAGTGTCCACAGACATCTGATGAGCGAGAGAGGATGAATCAGATTCTAAATGCTTCGCTTATTGGATCGATCATGTATGTCATGATATGTACTAGGCCGGATGTATCGTATGCCCTGAGTGCTACGAGCCAATACCAATCAGGCCCAGGAGAGGTGCATTGGACTGCAACCAAAAATATCCTAAAGTACCTGAAAAGGAACAAGGATAAATTTCTGGTCTATGGTGGGAGTAATGATTTGGTTGTTGAAAATTATACTGACATAAGCTTCCAGACTGACAGAGACGACTCCAAGTCGCAGTCAGGGTACATATTCTGTCTATATGGAGGAACGTTTAGTTGGAAGAGTGCTAAGCAAAGCACAACTGCAGATTCTACAACTGAAGTCGAATACTTGGCAGCTTCAGAAGCAGCTAAGGAGGCAGTTTAGATTCGTAAGTTCATTGGTGAACTTAATGTTATACCCTCAATCAAGGGTCCGATAGACCTCTATTGTGATAACAATGGAGCTTTTTCTCAGACCAGGGAGCCAAGGGAACATTAGAAGGTCAAACATGTCAAGAGGCGATTTCACATGATAAGGGAATGGAATTCAAGGGTAAATCAGAATTTGTAAGATTGGAATGGACGACAATGTAGCCGATCCACTCACTAAACCTCTGCCTCAAGTGAAACACAACAAGCAGTTGAGGCATAGTAGGTTGTTCAACAGAAACGGAAGTAGGTTCAGAAGAAACATCATATCAACAAATGAATCTGAGTTAGTATGATACCTTACACTCAGAAGTCCTGCACTCATCTTATGCTCAAAGAATAACACTACATCTCTGCTTGTCACTACCTTTTGTTTCTCAAGATCATAAAGCCTGAACCAATACTCTTCATCACCATAGCCAACAAAAACACCTCGACTAGTCTTGGAATCAAGCTTCAATCTCTGATCTTTGGCACATGCATGTATGTCTTGCATCCAAAGATTCTAAGATGTTGTTGAGGAAAACATAGTTTTTTGCGGAATAATCAATCGACCGAACAAACCACAAGCACGTTTTAGCTACTAGTTTGTTCAAGGTCACACCAACCCAAGCTATATGATATGTTCTCCAAGATAAAAAAAAAACAACAGCAATATTAACACACCTAATGAAGCAACATAAGGCAAAGAACGAGCATAATTAACCAAGTAAAGACACGTGATATTTACGTGGAAAACCTCTTTGATGTGAAGAGTAAAAACCATGGGACTTTGAGCAAGTCCACCCAAATTGCTCTTATTATGATCAAGAAATTTTACACAGGCATAATTCCAAATCCTAAACGTGGGTACTCAATTTACCCAACAGCAACAATCATAAGAGCTAACAATTGAGGAAGAAATTGAGAGATATCACCAGAAAAACAAGCTTCTATCTAGCAGCCAAAACTCACGAACTGTAGCGGAAAATGACAATCCCACCGTTGAAAATGAAGCCCTAGATTGTTCTAGACAAGTTGTCAAAATTTGAGCTAAATCGGACCGCGGATGAGCTTTAATCGGTGACGATTTCTGAAGCTTCACAGTGAAAAATGCGGACCGGGATGCTCTTGTGAACTCTTTGTATTTCCTCACTTTCTCTCAACTAATTGCCTTCCCTCATTTACTTCTCTACTAGCAGCAAGTGAAATAATATCTCAGAGCACCAGCATTCAAGAGGATTATAATCCTTTTAACTGTCCTTTTCCTTCCTTTTCAACTTCCTTATTGATGTCAACATTGCTAAAAGGATACTGTTAGGAAAAGGATTTGCTCGTTTCCTTTTGGTGGAAAGGATGCAACACCTTGGCTGATGTGCCAAAAAGTTGCCAAATTGGCCTTTTTTTATTATTAAAAAAAAAGAAAATGAAAAGTTGGGGATAAAATTCAATGGTGTCAATCATTTATGGGAAACTAGTGCTCAACGGTAATATCTCAAATTGTGGGAAATTTTTGTTCATGATGTTAAAGTGCAATTATTTTCACATATCAATAATATCTAAAACGGTCATATTTTTTAAAAAAACAAAAAAACACCAACGGTAATAATTTTTTTCCTCTATAAAATGAGTATAATTTGTGCATAATTTGACAGACTTTCATTTTTAGCATTTTGTTGTAATTAATCTATAAATTCCCAAAAAAAAATTATATTCTCACTCATACACTAGTATAATTCTCCATTTTAGTTTCAATATCACTTTCAATTAATTTTCAACATGTATCGTAATAATTCAAATTACGGGAGAAATATGAATTTTCAAAATAATTCAAACTTCCAATATAATTAAAATAATCCTCCTTTTGATCCAAACCTTATGAGTAATCCTCAATTTCAAGCTACTTTACAATGGTATAGTAGTCAATCAAGACCAATAAATGTCAATAATATAACATGCCCCATTTTCAACCCTCTTTTCCTTTTCCTCAAAGTAGCTCATCATCTCAACAACCTCTTGGTAATATGTCGGTTTTTTGCATTTCTAAACATTTCAGTCAGAATATGGACTAATCATCGGGAGGTTTTGCTGGTAGCAATGCAACTCCAAAAGAGGGGAGTGGGGATGAACATGTAGAAGAATATGTGGGGGTGCAACATCTAGAAGACATTGACGATGTTGATGTCGAAATTGTTCCCGAACAAAATGTCAATACCACCGGGCAAAGGAAAAACCAATCATAGGGCATAGCCGAAGATAAAGCACTTGTGTCGGCCTACATAAATGCAGGAGGTGACGTAGTGCAGGGAACCAAGACAAAGAAAAGCGGGTTATGGGTTGAAATCTATAACCTTTGCGAAAAGGCCAGAATAGAAAACCCCGCTGAAATAAAGGTAAGAAACATTAAATTTATGCAAAATCAATGGGATTTTATCAATATACATTGTGGTAAATGGGTAGATGCATATGGCTATCATTATCGAACCAAGGGTAGTGGTGAGTCCGAGCAAAATTTGGAGAAATTTGCTCGCAAGGGTTATTACGCAACTAACGGTAAGATGTTTTGTTTCTTGCATTGTTTTATAACTTTGAGAAAATATCCGAAATGGGATCCTTCATTGGCCAAAGATCAATCGAATATGTTGCCTAGTGGCCAAACATCAACCGAAAGTGGGGGAAGCGGTAAAAGATCACAACCTAATTCACCATCCGAGGTTGGGGGAAGAGCTAAAAGACCTAGTGGCATTAAACAAACAAAGATGAAAGGGAAAGCTTCTACTACTTCATCTTCAAGTATAAATTTTAAATCGTTAAATACAAATTTTAACGAAGTTGGTGATAAGTTGAAAGATTTGGGTGAGCGACTACTAGATCAGTTGAAGGAAAGAGATTAACTAAAAAAAGCACAAGCTTAATAAAAGAAAAGGCAAAAGGACGAGGCTATGAAGTTTAGAATGTTAGAAAGGTTAATGTAGAAGCCCGTTCTTGATGATGTTGAATTAGAAATGTATAAAATAAAACTTAGAGATGAATTCAGTTGTAGATTTTTGCTTTGATTTAATTTACCTGATTGTACCGGGTTATCATTATTACTATTTGCGATTATAAGTTGTATGATTTTATTATTATTGTCATTGTAACTAGAATTATTGTCATCGTACCATTTTAATATGAGTGTAATTTTTATGTATTAATATGACGTTTATTTGTACTAATTCTAGTTATAATCTGTTAATGCTATTTTATATTATTGTGATAACATTGTAAGTCTTATCTTGCAATACTAACCAAAATCCTATCTTCTGACATCCCTTGTTTTATGACCACATATCCTTATCAGAAATCTTATCTTTTGACTAACCTTATCCTATTTATATCTATAAAATTCATAAGATTACTCCCAATAACATTACATCTATTAATATTAACCTTCTATTTTCCCCAAACAAAAAAAAAAAAAAAAAAAAAAAAAAAAAAAAAAAAAAAAAAACCCAATAACCTTCTATCTCAAATATTGTTTGGTAATAAACATAATATGAACTTCGATTCTAACTCTTCAAGTTTTTCTTCTTCATCTTCAAGTTCAACTGATGAAATCTATGATCACATGGTCATGGATTTTATTAAGGAGAGTCATCGATTACAAGTAATGCAAAATGTAGTACTTGTAGCTGTAAACAATTCAGTACAGCAACATGAACAAAAACGTCAAAGAAAGAGAAGGATAACTGTGCCGAGAAATCGTGAAGCAGCTCACGTCAATTTAGTTACAGATGACTTTAGTGACTAATCGGTATACGATGAAACCATGTTTCGAAGGAGGTTTCATATACGAAGACCCATTTTCCTTCGCATTGTCAACACAATAAGTGCAACTAACCGCTACTTCCAACAACACCCAAATGCTGCCATGCGTCTTGGTGCTTCACCCCTTCAGAATTGCACAACAGTTATATGTATGTTAGCTTATGGTTGTTCAGCTAATCAAGTAGATGAATATCTGAAGCTTGGTGAAAGTACTGCTAGAGAATGCCTTGGAAAATTTGTCGAAGGGTTAATTGCTCAATTTACAACTGAGTACCTTCACAAGCCAACAGTGGAAAATATCCGACGCCTCCTTAGAGAAGGGAAAGATAGAGGTTTCCCTGGCATGCTGGGAAGTATTGATTGCATGCATTGGGTATGGAAAAGTTGTCTAGCTAGATGGAAAGGAATGTATCAAGGAAGATCTAAAACGACGATTGTATCTTAGAAGCGATTGCTTCTAGAGATTTATGGATTTGGTACGCTTAGATCATGCAACAACATAAATGTACTCCAACGTTCTCCGGTGTTTGATGATATAATAAATAATCGTGCTCCACAAGTTCTATTCACAGTTAACGAAAATACTTACAACAAAGGATATTATCTCACATATGGGATTTATCCAAAAATGGTTGACAATTTATAGATGCTATTGCGGCCCCAAAAACCTGTAAGGGTAAATTATTCACTGAATGTCAAGAGAGTGCTAGAAAGGATGTTGAGCGTGCATTTGGTGTGTTACAAAGCTCGATTTGCAATAATTAGGAAGCCTGCTTTGGCATGGAGTGTAGAGTTGATGTGGAAAATCATGATGACTTGCATCATCATCCACAACATGATCGTTGAAGACGAGCGTGATACGTATTTAAACTATAAAGATCCACTTGAGTTCGCCCGAGAACAACCTGAAAATATGCCAGGGTCATCCTCAACCAGAAATGCAACAATATTTACCGTAACTCCCGAGCATTATGATCTTGATAATTTCGGTAGATTGATAGCTTCAAGAGGGGAGATTCGCGATAAACAAGTCCATGTGGCATTGAGCATTTATGGCCAAGGTCTAGGACCTCGAATGAAAATTAGTATTTCAATAATTTTTAATTATGTTATTTTCTTTGCTTATTTTCATCCATGTATTTCACGTTTTTAATTCATATGTTTTAATTCATGTATTTTATATTTTTACTAATTTTTTATAATAACGTGCTAATGTGATAAAGTATTAGTTGACGTGTTTTATGTTCATTTAATAATAATAATAATAATAATAATAATAATAATAATAATAATAATAATAATAATAATAATAATTAACATCTTTTACATACTTTAATAATAATTAAGTGTATTAATAAGAGAGGGAATATATAGTGGGGTATATGTAAATAGGAGAGAGAAAATGAGAAAGGATTATCATTGATGTTGGAAATATTTAAGAAAGAGGATGAGTAAAAGGATGGAGATAGTGGGAAGTGATGTGGAGGAAAGAGAGTGTGATGTGTCTAAGTGGAGGAAGGAAAGAGAAAATGGGAAAGGATATATGTATCCTTACCATTGTTGGTGCTCTCAATGACTTTGTTTCCCAAAAGCTTCCACGGTAAGGCACACACAAAGTCAAGAAAGGAAGCTTCCTTGAGAAGACTTCATATTTGGACATTAGCTATACTACTTGCCCAAAAAACATTCACCGCATCAAATGGGCTTTCTCCACATAGGAAATGACCCATAGCCAAACAAATCTCCCTCCCGACTATGTGGAGGTGGTTACCATTCCGGCAATCGAACGACAAGTCTCAAACTTTCCCCTTGGCAATGCTTTAGTCATCATGTCGGAGCCATTGTCATCGGTATGGATTTTCTCAAGCTCAAGGAACTTAGCATCAAGAACTCCCGTAACCAATGATACCCCACATTAATGTGTTTCGACTTTACATGAAAGGTGGAATTCTTAGCAAGATAAATAGAACTTTGACTGTCACAATACAACACATACCTCTTTTACGTAAATCCAAGTTGACGAACAAATCGCTTCATCCATAACAACTCCTTACATGCCTGTGTCGCTACAATGAACTTTAACTCAATTGTGGACAATGCCACACATTCTGTAATCTAGAATGCCAAGAAATTGCTCCCCCTGCAAAAGTTATCAAGTAACCCGAAGTAGACTTCCTCGAATCGATATCACCCGCCATATCAGAATCTGAGTAGCTAACAAGAATAGGCTTATCACTCCCAAAGCATAGCTTCATATCTGCAGTACCTCGTAGATATCCCATAATCCATTTCACATCATTCCAATGCTCCTTTCCCGAATCAGAGAGAAAACGACTAACCAAACCAAATGCATGAGCTAAATCGGGCCTACTGCAAACCATTGCATATATCAGGCTACCCACATCTTAAGCATAAGGTATATGCAACATACTTTCCTTCTCTTCCGATGTAGAAGGACTTTGTTGAGAACTCAACTTAAAATGCAAAGCAAGAGGAGTACTCACTGGTTTTGCTTTCTCCATGTTGAACCTTTGAAGCGCATTTTGAATATATGTTTCCCGTGACAACCACAACCTTCAAGCCTTATGATCACGGATGATCCTCATGCCTAAAATGATCTTTGATTTCTCGAGTTCCTTCATAGAGAAAGTCTTGCTCAACTGTTGCTTCAAACTGACAATTCTATCCACATTTCGCCCTACAATAAGCATGTCATCAACATAAAGTACCAAAATGATAAAATCATTATCAAAATTTCTTCAAGAAGGCACAATGATCACAAGAAGTCTTCTTGTAGCCTTAATCCCCCATAAAGGAGTCAAACTTTCGATACCATTGCCTTGGAGCTTGTTTCAGGCCATACAAGCTCTTCTTCAATTTGCACACATACTCTTCCTTGCCCTTGACTTTGAAGCCCTCTAGTTTTTCCATGTATATGTGTTCCTCAAAGTCACCATAAGGAAATGTAGTCTTCACATCCAACTGCTTTTTCTCCAAATTCAAGCTAGCAGCAAGACCCAAAATAACTTTAATGGAGGACATCTTGATAGCCAGTGTAAAATCCTCTTCAGATTCTATTCCCTTCTTCTGGTTACAGCCTTTTATAACAAGTTTTGCTTTGTATCGTGGTTACTAAGCATTCTCACCTTGTTTCTACTTGTAAACCCAATGATTTTTCAAAGCTCTCTTACCCTTCGGTAGCTTCACAAGCTCAAAAGTATGGTTATCATGCAATGATTTCATTTCATATTTCATTGCATCTAACCAATGCTTCTTGTCATCACTATCCATGGCTTCCTCAAAGGACTCAAGTTCTCCCCCGTCAATTAGGAGAACATAAGAAGGATACCTCGTGGAAGGGCCGTCTCACAGGATTTGGTTGTACTTTAGTTGAACCTTGGTCATCAAGCTCAATTGCATCTTCACCGTCATCATTATCAACATTATCACCTACCTTAGGAACATCATCCCCATTTTCATTATCTTGCACCTATTCAGTTGGAGTAGGTGCAGGAGTCAAAGGAGGTAGATCTAAATAAACCAAATCATCGCCAATGTGAGACGTAGATTCTTCAACCTTTTGGATGTCTTTAATTGTCTAATCTTCGTCAAATACCACATCCTTACTTCAAATCAAATTATTCTCTACAAGAACATAAAACATGTAGCCAAACTGCTCCAAACCACAACCCACAAAGATGCACTGGCGAGTTTTTGAATCCAGTTTTGATCTTTCATCATTCGGAACATGTACAAATGCTTTACACCCGAAGACACACAAATGATTATAAGAAAACTCCTTGCCAAGACAAACCTTATCTGGAACATCACCATCTAAGGAAACACAAGGAGACAGAATAATCACATGTGTAGCTATATACAAAGCTTCACCCCAAAAGTGTCTTGGTAATTTTGCCTCTGAAAGCATACATCGTATTCTCTCTAACAAAGTTTTGTTCATTCTCTCTGCTACGCCATTCAGCTGTGAAGTCTTCTTTGGCGCGAATTGAAGCCGTATGCCCTGTGACTTGCAATAATCATCAAGTGGTCTGATGTATTCACCACCATTGTCATAACGGAGGCACTTTAACTTTTTACCCGTTTTCCTTTCAACCAAAGCTTCAAATTGCTTAAAAACATCAAGCACTTGATCTTTGGTTTTCAAAGCATACACCCACAGCTTTCTTGAACAATCATCAATAAATATAACAAAGTAAAGTGCACCACTAAAAGTTTTGACTTTTAAAGGACAGCAAACATCAGAATGAACAAGGTCAAGCAAACTTGATTTTCTGGAAGGAGGGTGTCTCTTAAAAAAGACTTTGTTTTGCTTGCCTGCAAAACAATGTGGACATTTGTCCAAATTTGCACTCTTCAAGTCTTGAAGTGCATTCTTCTTCATCAAACAACTTAGCCCTTTTCACTCATATGACCAAGTCTTCTATGCCACAACTTTGCTGGATCATCATCTGCTACATTTACATTATCTGTGGAAATTGTAGCTTGCAACAAATACAGGCTTGTGTGCTTCTTCTCACGAGCTAACACCAAACTTCCCTTAGTGAGCTTCCATTGGGCACTATGAAAGGTGTTACAATAGCCTTCATCATCGTGCTTGCCTGTTGAGATCAAGTTTAACCGGATGTCTAGAACATGCCTAACATTCTTAAGCATTAACTTTGCTACAATGTTAGTTACCAAGCAAACATCACCAACACCAACAACTTGAGCCAATCCATCATGACCCATCTTCAATACCCTGAAGTCACCAGGTGTATAAGATATGAAGAATTCCTTCCTTGATGTCACATGTAATGAGGCTCCACTGTCAATAACCCAAATTGTCTCATATCTAGCAAGATTCATAGAACTCTCATCATGAACAATGATAAGATCATCAACTGTTGTCGTTGCAGCTCGATCATCACCATCTTGATCTTTCTAATCATGCTTCTTTTCTTGCTTGCCATTACCACCCCTGTTGTTATCCTTCTTCCACTTATAGCAGTATTTCTGAATATGACCCATTTTATCATAATAGCTTCATTTCATGTTTTTGTATCTCCCACGGGACTTGCTCTTGCTTTAATCTCTACCACTCGGAGCCCTGTTCTTGCTTCTCTCCCTATTATCAACAACATATGCTTCCTTGGACGAAGATGACACGCCATGAGAATTCTTTCTTATCTCCTCATTCAAGATACCAACCTTAGCAAGATCCAAAGTGATTTTTCCTTGTGGTGCAGAGTTACAAAGTGTCATTCTAAAAGTGTCCCATGAATCAGAAAAAGTACCAAGCAATATGAGTCCCTTAATTTCATCATCAAACTTTATTCCCATGGCTGACAACTGCTGAAGAATGCCATGAAAATAATTCAAGTGATCTGAAAGTGTCTTGCTCTCTCTATAATTTAAGCCCATCAATTACTTAATCAAGTACAGTTT